ATTTCTTAAAATAGATAAATTATATGTTATAATTTAAATTTCAAAAAGTCATTTTCTAAATAAGAAATACAATAAATGTTTAAGTTATTAATTAAAAAATATACATTTGACATTTTTACATGATATTATGAGTTTTTTAAATTTTTTAAAACACCTGCTCTTGCCAATTTATCAGCCATTTCATTACCATGAATTCCAACATGACCATTGACATGATTCTGAAATATTGTTTTCAATATGAGTCATATGTCAATTATAAAATATAGAATCAACATACTTATAAAATAATTAGATGTTATTTACCCAGGCCACATTTAACGATTTAAGAGCTTCTTCCATTTCTAACAGTTCAACCTTATTTATTACAGGTTTATTAGCTGTAGTGATCCATCCATTTGTTTTCCACTTTCGCATCCAGATATTTATGCAAGAAATAAGAAATTTTGAATCTGTAATAATCTTTAAATTTTTAATGCCTGCCTTTTTTGCTTGTTTGGCAGCTACAATTACAGCCTGAATTTCTGCCACATTATTAGTTGCTCGACCAACAACAGCTTCTGATACATTTCTGTCATTAATATTTTCAATCAAAACTTTAAATATTGTATTAGAAATTGATTATAATTAAAAAATACAATGCAACATACAAAGGATGATTATCACCAAACCAAACACCAATACCTGCTTGTGCAGTTTTATAACCATTTGAACTACATGCACCATCTGTATATACATTTACATAACCATCACTGTCAATAATATAATCTGATGTTTTCTGAAAAATTGTTAGTGTATTTGAATAATAAATTTCAAAATTTTCAAAGTAAATATCTTTATAATGTATTTTACTTAAGTAGTTATCTATATATCAATAATGATGAGAACATATAAATGCATCCGAATTATATGATTATTGTATGTAAAATTTGATATGGAAATACTTACTTTGTTTTCAGTGCATACAAGTTCTGAATACTCTTTTAATATTGTCCTTTTTCTTTTTTTTAATGGTGGTTTGTTATCAGTTTCTGTAGATTCATTTTGTAATTGTGGTCTATAAGTATTTTCTAATTAAAATATACC